ATTTCGTCTACTAGACGTATAACATAAACCGAAAAATTACATTAAATTTATTTATTGGTTTTTATTATTGAGTAGTTGTTTGGGCATTAAAACCGATAACACACATCATAGCAAGTCGGGATAAACTACCTATAAATTTATAGGTGCTGACACCTAATTTTGGGATAAATTTCATCGCATTTGTACATCTCAATCGGTACACCAACATCATTCAAATGTTTATCCCGACTTGCGATGACATTTAACTACTATTGACAATTTAATTTTGTGTGTGACCGTATACAATTGTTTCGAAAACTCCATATTTAAATAGGTTCATTTGACCATTGCAGTTGGGCTTTTTTTTATTAAAGAGAAATCACACAGTGCAATGAAAATGCAAAGGAAAGGAGGACAAGAGAAGATGTATTTTTGTATGCAATCGGTTTGTCTGGATTGTCGGCAACTGCATTAGTACCAAAGTGTGTATGAAAATTTTATTGTAAATGAAGTTCCTATATCTTCGTTGCATCACAGTGCCATTCATAACGTACAAATCTTACGAAGATCTAGATGGCGCTGTTGACGTTTTAAAGAAAAATTGCAAAATGATAAATACAATATAACACTTGTCAATCATATTTCAGCTTCATTTGTTCAGTACCGAAGAAAACGAACAATGAATAAAGCATACACAAAACACAGGACTAGTGCATCATTTTTATCAGCGATGAACGTTCACGCAGTGTATTTAATATCTAAAACTGGTTGAGGATAACGTCAGAACCATGCTGAGTATTTTTCGTTAAGTATATGAATGAATCAGCACGCGACGAGATGCTTGGGTAAATGGCAAATCATCTTTGAATTGAATATTTCAAAAATGTCCCTAATTCACTATCATTAAAAATGATGATGTGTCGGAAAGGAGTTGAGTTTTTCGAATAAACACATGTAGCGATATTCCAAATGAAATTGGAGATTAAATAGCGATGATTTGAGTTGAAAAGTGGTATCGAAATAGGTTTCTAATAAATTATTTACCATGTTAAAAACCCCTACAGCCGATATTATCGACTCGTTAAACCATTTGAAAATTCTTGAAGTGTCATTTGGTCATCTGTAATAATTTCGTTCGATGTGGGTCATAGTAATTTCCGTCATTCTCAATCGATCTATGTTGTGTTGGCACACCATGACTCAAATCATCTGTTGCAGATCGAAAGAAGCCTATTCATTCAAATGAATCATAAAATCCGCAAGTCAAGAAATTGAGCGCCCATCGGAGAGGTCCTCTATTCCATGGAACCATGCGCTATTTTATTGAATAAAAAATTATGCAACATAGAAAAATGTCATGCGATGCTCTGTTAATTGTAAGTGCGCACTCATAAAACGACACACTTAATATTAATTGGGTCAATGCAGTTGATAAATATTAAATGTGGTTGTGCTTTGCATGCAGTATTAGAGGCTATTACCGCTTACAGTAGAACCTTCCAATGAGCCACACACTACCGATAGTGCAATATACGGAGTGTTACTCCAAATGATGGAGTAACTAATTTGGAACCGTGCTGTTTTACTATTGGGATGCTTTACTGTGTATAACGTTTAGCCACAACCATGTAACGCATTTGTTGTAAATAATTGGTTCAGTAAATCAATAAACGCGAGCTGGTATTACATCGAACTAGTTGCTTGAATTGGCGTATATTATTTTCTTTTAATTTTTTTTTAAAGAAAAACTCTAGAACGGTACGTAGTCGCGTGTTTGGATGGTCTTTTACTAGCCACAAGAGTGTTTAATTTCAAAGAAAAGAAGAAGAAGAAGAAGAAGAAAGAAAACTACTGAAAGAAATAAAAGCAGAAAACACGGAGTGAAATCGAATAAATATTTGCAACGAAAGTGAAATCCCAGTTGGTGTATTGGAAGCGTTGGCGCGCACGGTGAACAAAATTGTGATCGAATCGGATAGTTTTACACTTTGATTGTTCTTACTGTCGTGAGCGGTCAATGTTTTGTATGCGGGAAAATTGCAGCACAGGTGGAAATGATGTAGTGAGGCTGTGTATGTAACTAAAATGTACTCAATGCATTTTATTGGAATTTCTGTTACTTTTTCCATTCCGCTGCATGTAGCGTTCATTTTGTATTTGTCTTTTTTTTTCACCAATTTCTTCGAATCGATTATATTTTTACTTATTCCGTTCTTGTCGTTTTGTTGTTGGCATCAATGCATACCGTCGTTTTTTTTTTCTTCTTTCACTTTGGGTGATGACCAAATCTTAAAACAAAAGATATGAATCCGTACATGAAAGAAATGTGCTTGTTCATTTATCGCATTAAACATATGCGCAGCTTTTCCATAAACGATACGCATAATCATGGAATATGCAAGAGTTTTGCAGCAAAAGAGAGGATAAAACAACACAACAACCAATTGTGAAACGATGAGAGTAGTCAAGATATTTAAAATGACGTTGAAGTAAAACTACAATACATTATTTCAGCGGAAACAACACATTTCTTTTTTCTATTCTCTTAAATTAGACTTTCGCGTTTCACTTACCAAGAATTGATTCCCAAGATTTTCTTCTTATATTCATTCTAATTTGTTATAAAACAACAAAGTATACTTGATCCACTGCATGAAAATGGAACACAATTCCTGAACATATAGAAATGTGTTATAGAAATGTCCAAAATGAATTTTTACATTTTGTGCAGAAGAACTATCGTTTCATCCATCTAATGATCATGTATTTGCTAATTCATGGCGCAAACTAACTTCGATTCGAGTTTTAAATTCCAAATTGCAAGTTCTTAAATTTTATGTAAAAGAAATGGTTGAGGTCGCAATTATTCTCACCAATACATCAATATTTCGCGTAGTAGTTACACGTGAAAAAAAAAACTAAACGAATCGAATCAAATTATTCAACTGATATCTCTTGTGCGGAGTGTGTTGTTTCAGTGGTTTTTTTTTTGTTGCATTTTCATTTGAGATAAAGAAGGCTAATAACAATGATGATGAAGTGACCGTATAGATCGTGGCCAATGATACACGAAGTATGTGGAATAATAGAGACAATTAAATGTCTGTCGAGGTCAATATGGTCAGTGACAAAAGATAATGCTTACAAATGTAAAACATCAAATCCCGACTAGAGAAAACTAAACGGAATGTAAATATTTAAAGCGTATTGTTTAAGGAAATTACAAATCTATTCGGACATACAATTACAATTCGTATGCTTCGTGTGTGCATATCATTCATTGCAACTCTTTGTTCTCACAGTGTTTGACGCACTGAGAGATGTACGTTTTCCTTTGAATCTCTAATGCATGCATTCATATCCCATCTTGTGAATTACTTCCACACACTGTTTAAAATTTACGAAAAATAAAAATTACAATTTTTGCTTACAGATAGGAGAAAGGCACGGAGAAGAAGCGGCGAAATTTATTGGGTGTACAATTTAGTATTTTCTCATTGAGTTTTTTCATTCGTAGCTGATTTTCCAGTAAGAAGAATGATGGAAATTTAACATATTTTTAAGTGCTATTTTCATTTTTTTGTTGCAGTTTTTACCATGGTAAAAACGGATCCTTTTGAAATTTCAATAACCTCTGCCCTGACTTGTGAGTCAATTTTTTAGCTTTTTTTTTTAAACATGCAATAGCTGCAATTGTCGATGAGTCAGAAAACTCTGTATGCATTTAGATATGTATACTTGCACCGTCTATTTATATGTATGAATAGATAAATTTATACACTCAATAGTTTTTGTGCTGTGAATTCCGCAAAAGCGATTTATCGACTTCGGATTGCTCATAAATAATAGTTGGACAATTAAATATCATCGATTTTAGAAAGCGATTTGTCGTTTCACATTGCGACAGAGAACCAAATTGATAGAGAAAGCATTTTCGATTGTTTCCGAAGAAGACATCGACCATTGCTTATTACCTTCTTGTCTTCACCGGCACCGTAGTGTGAACTATTTGTTTTTCTAGCGCCAAACAAATGAAATTGTGGAAATTTTCTTCCATGCAATGTGTGGATAATGCTGAATGAATGTGTTCATGGAAAATGAATGGCCCAATCAGATCGGACCGTGATTTTTTTTTACCGTGGCATCAATAAAAAAGCATCGACAGATCATCAACCTTTCGACAAACAATAGAACAAAATATTAGCCATAATGGGAGAGATTTTGGCTGGTATTTGTTTCTGTTGGGATTGGAACATAGAACGAAATGGCGCGTAAGAATTTGACGATAAGTTCAACAGTGTGGTGAGCAACAAATTATTTGTACAAGTTGTCACAACAATTTGCACGTAGTGCGCAACATTTGAAAAATGAAAGAAAAGAAAAACATTCGACAAATTGTGAATCAATTCGAATCAAGCTCACTCATTTCTACTATCGATCGATAATAATCATAATGCACCACGGTGACGCCATGTTCCGTGCCTTTTACTACTCGCGCGGCAAGATCACAGTGCTCGAAATTTTGCATAAAATCACAATGTTTTGGCCTGAATCTCAAGATCCCGCGACATGGGCCAAATTGGCGGATTGCTGAGACACGCTAAAGGTAATCAAAATGAAAGCGATTTGTGCTTGGATCTCGGTTTTTTCCTTTCTGCCAATCCACACACAAATCGCCAGTGTTTGATGTTATTGTTGAATGTGCAGAGTGCACAGTATCGCGTTTGATCGATGTATATGCCCGTTGGGGAGGATTTGTGTGCGGTGCACATTTGTACAGGTTTCGTTCGATATGGACAAAAAAATATGTACCAGAGCGCATTAGTTATTTTTGTGAATCGCCTTTGATGTGAGGTCGTTTCAATACAATTCGTTCAATTCGATTTCTCACCAAACAATTCAATCGGATGATAAAGACAATCAATTCATGCGAATACTCGAAAGTAAACGAGTTGTTTTTCCCTTGTGCAAAAATTCAAATGTAACTCTTTTTGAATGCCAAATGGAAAAAATACACTTACCGATAAATTATGGGATGTATTTTTTATAATTGTGATTAACTTTGCTGCCGGTGATAAAAATTCTCTCTCAAACCAAGACAAATCAGCATGAAATGCAGTTTCCAATAAATCACGAGCTTGTCTCAGTAAAACTGCACGAGTTGACTCAAAATAATTCGGATAAAGGGCCGCTAGGTAGTGATCGACCAGATTGTTTAGGTTTTTTTCGATGGCCTGTAAGAGAACGAAAAAAATGAAATATCAATATTTAGCCAATTCAGTATGGAATTGGGTGAAAAATGTGTGTTTCAAATTGTGGAAATAAAACACATCAATAACTTAGCAAAACTCGATTTTTCCATTCAAACATGGTTAGTTTGGTGTTTGAACACCAAAGACAGGAGGCACATTTTGCAGGACGGTCGCCAAATTACCAAATAGTTGAAGGTTTCAAATTCTCGAACACAGAATACATCTATTTATTCACAGAGGATTTCGACACATTCAGTTTCGAAATAGTTACAGTAAACAGCACGGTGTCAAATTAATTTCCGTTGAATTAGGTTTAGAACAGCGATATTTAATATTCGTGTAGCGTTTTACGCTCACCTCTAGTTTAACAAAAGTCGACGGAATTAAGACACTTTTAACTTAAATTACACTTAACACTAGTGACAAAAAAATGTGAATAGATTGAGCGGTTAAATTTAATTGGCATGGTGTTATTTCTATCATTCAATAGAACATAGTTTGTTGCCCTCCACGAAGGAAAGTGAGCACTGAATGTGCTCTTAAGTCTTTTTGTCATTTCGTTGCACTGCTGACAGTTGGGTGCACCCATATTATATTTCTGCTAATTCAATGACCACCACAGCTTGTATGATTTGAGCATATTTTCCATGAGTTTAACAATCGTTTTGACGCCATAGTTTTATTGCATATCTAAGACGTTCATTCCGTGTGAAAATCTGAACGTCAACTGATTTTATTGCACAGAAACAATGTGGATTCTTGCGACAGGAGAAAGTAAATAAGTCCTTATATTCTCGAAATGCAATCGAGAGTGGATTATAGATTTCGACTCGCTATTTGATTTCAATGATCAATGTATGATAGCTATGATTAATTGATTACCTATAACACATGACAATCAACGACGCATAAATTTGCATATTGAATCGCTAGTCCGATCAGAGCAAGCCGCGTGTATACTGAATGAACCGAATATGAAATATGGGTAAAATCGAAAATTTTTGTTTTATTTTCTCGGGTGCAATTTGTTGCTTTGCGGCCATGCCCTTACTGATTGATCATAGAAAATGGTATGATCTAGCTCAAGCGATAACCCAAAGTTGATTTAATGGTCTAGTCTGGTTTGGTCTGGAGCGAGTGCAACAAATTCTTCAATTGATTTCTCTTTCGTTTGCCGTGTGAGAATTTGTGTGTGTTTTCGTCTTTTGAAATTTGAAATTTCGAGCCATCACAAATCTATTACCGCTAACGATCGGTAACACATCAGGAATTTATTAAAATAAAACAAAAAATAAAATAAAATTGTGCAACACTCTTCATTGCCCGACGATGGAGTGGATTAAAAGGCCAAAAATCAAATTGTATTAGAACCGAATTGGATAGTCGGAAGATTGGGCGAAAATTTCGCTATTTTGAAACTGGCACCTAATGGATACACGCTGTCTCACATGAACGTTAAAATAGTACCCATAATAAAAACCAGTACACAGCACAATCAACGTATGGCTTGACAAAAGGAGCGTTAAATGTTGCACAAACTGCATCCATGTGACTGTGATGCACGAAAATCATGCCAATAGTGCACTTTCACCCTGAAAATCATATTACTTTTATGGGATTATACGTATGCGGGCCGCTTAAATGTTAAATTGATCTGGCTGTACGTAAATCGATATTAAGCGAATAGAAAAAAAGTCCCACACCGCTTTTGGCTGCTCGCCTTTTCCTTTGGTTCTAACATCTAAACCATTCACAATTGTTTCGAATTGTTTATACTAGATACTAGATTACTGTTTGGGCCCATTTTTGTTTAGTTTTGCGATTTATCCGTTATTTCTATATTATATTATGTGAGCACGATAATCGGCGCACAGCTACGCTCTCTCGCCTCACCAACTCTTCATGATTGATTTTAATCATGGTGAAAAAAATTTGAAATTCACAATCGTGTTAGCGGTTGTGGTTTCTCTCTAACGTTGGCACACTCAATCGGAATGTATTTCGAAAAGAGAAATGAAAAGTGGTTTAGTGTCGCAAATATTTAAATTGGACCAGCGCTATTGATTTCCCATTGATTTTAGTATGTACAAAATAAAACGATGTTTTGACTCGATGGACATTTTGCACAACGATACGTACATACCGCATTTTTACTTGCAAATACAATTTTACCCATTTTGATTTCGCGACCAATTTATAGTTTTCATCATTCGATATAGTTTCCGTGGACATTGGATGACGTTCGCAAGTGTCGCTATGTCGCTTCTATCGGTCGGTCATCTTTAAAAGAAACATCGATGTTGATATGTGTCTGAATATACAGTGCATACGATGCAATGCCATGACAGTCCACAATTATATGCAAAAATACACTTTTTTCCAAACTCAATTGTTCAATCGACCACTTAGCCATTTCTCCCATGTCAACTGAATGAAATATGCAACGTTTTGACTGTGTGAGAAGATGGCGAATAGGAACAAGAAGGTTAACTAACAATTCGAGAAAGTGATGAAAATTATTTAATTGAATTTATTCGAATGATTTATGCATCAATTCAAGACCACGCAAGAGCGATGGCAAATGGTAAAATGTGGTGAAATCGTATGTGATTTGACTTTTAGCCATCGATAAATATGTTTGAATTGATTCTAAATCGATTGAAAAAGAAAATAACCATACCACTGCCGTGGCGCGTTCAATCTCGCGACAATTGAACAATGCATCGTGGTTGGTGGTCTTGCAAATAATTTGATCAAAAAGATATTTATCGCAAATGACATAAATAAATTTTCTTTACAGTGTTTGAGGGAAACGCAAATTTGAGTTAGGGAATGGATCGGAAGATGAACGATATAAAATCAAATCAGATGAATTGAATAAACTCAGATGGACGGAAAATAATAAACAATTTTAGTGTGCCTATTCATTTTTAGAGCCATCAAATCAACCATGCACATGTGTCATGTCACCAAATGAGCACACTAGAAACGCAGAAGAAGGAGGAGAAGTAGAGGAGAGAAGGAAAGGCCGAGAGAGAGGGAGAGAGAGAGAGTGAAAAGAACTGAAACTAAACGAAATAAAGAAGGAAGAAGAGAGCGAGAATAATGGTGTGTTCAGCGAACGCTTCACTGAATCTATTGAGTGTTTGCACAATGCACATTAATGTATTTAATAAATATTGTAGTAATGAGTGTGTAACCCCTTCGTTGTGTCACATAAAAATGAATTATGAGCGTGTCGCCAAATAAAACCAAAACAAATAAATAAATTATCGATGATTTAAGTTTATAAAAGCCATTTTTATCTATTTAGTCTGTGTGCCTTGTATCGGAAGACATGTGCGTTATATTTTTTTTTTATCAAACGAACTGGAGCTAGTACCAAGACATGAGAAAATATAATTTCGAAACATTTCGATATAAAGGGAATTGTACGCGTCTGTTGTGCGCATTAAACACAATAAATTAAGAACATTAACATGCTTGCGCTAAAATCGGGATGAACACAGATTAGACTCCAAATGGTTTTATTGAACCAGCACCAGCATACGTTTTGGATACGATGCCCAATTATAGTAAATGGGCCATGAAATCGAACATGAAAACCAACTCATTTTTCACAGACACATGTGACAAGAGTTACGCAAACTTCAGCTTCATACAGCATCTCTCGTTTATTCGGCACTATTTTAGTTGAAAAACAATTAAACTTTACTCTGAATGAAATATGCATTAAATTTTTTTGGACATGTCCATTTTGACTTATTCCCGTACCTCATTCTGCATTAAAACATCGTTCTGAATATGAGAAACGCACGTGCACCAGTGTATCAACCTTTGTTTTGCCTTTTTATTAAGCCTATTGTTTACTAAACAAACTAAAACACGCCAATAAAACCAAAGCCGCACATAACTCACAAAAAAAAACGAGCGAGTATTTGCTTTTGGGTTAGTTGAGTGCATGAAAAAGGGAATGGCATGCATAGCATGAAGCGATATACTTAAAATAGTACTGTGAATAGAAAATTGGGCTCTACATTTAAATGTGAGAGAGCACATTTTATGAGATGACATCGAACTATTAATTCTCGATTAAAGTAATTTTTGAGAAACATGTAAGAATGTGAATCTCTCCCTTTATTTAAACACAACATGATTAGAGTACGACCTCAAAATTTAGGCGAAATCGAAATGATTCCTCCTGAATTTTGGCTATACAACTTGAATTTCCATTTCACTGCGCACATTTTGGAAGTTTTATTTTTCAACATCATACTCACCGCTTGACATGTTGGCTTTATAAAATAATTTTCTGGGATGTGATCGTTGAAACATTCATCATTTGTATTATTTGTTTGACTTTCCGGCAGTGAATGCATCGATTGCTCCACCATTTGTATCGAAGATAATTCATGTTCAATACAATTTAACTCATTGATTTGTTCGTTATTGCTTTCGATTCCGGGTCTATCTATGTTTTCTATGTACCATGAGCTCGTTGACCGTTTCGTTCTAATGCTGTTATTCGTCTTTTGTGTTGTACGTTTTCCACTCAAACTAATGCTGCTTATTGCACTTTCGCATCGTTTCAAATATGAACGCATTTTCGATAGATTTGTATCAGTTGAACCATTATCTGAATCGGAACTATTTAATTTGACTCTGTTATCGATTACTTCGGTTGAGTAAAAATGGGAATTGCTGCCCCAACAAGTGGTCGGTGACACCTAATTCATTGGACAAGAAAAGTAAAATATGTGAAATATTTTAATTGGTTTTGTGAAATTCAAAAATAAAGAAAAATTCAAATTTAATTGTAAAAACACACAATTTTGAAACTCTAGAGTCATACGATGAGTTAATGCTGTAAGAGTGAGCAATATAGACATGAGCGATTGAAAAAGTTTACTATTCACAAGTCAACGAATAACTATTTATTAAGCGCATGTTGAGCAATTGCGCATAGCGTGCGGTGCCCATAATAAAACATATACATCAAAAACTTGCCCAATTTCTTCGGTTATTGCTACTATATGCAAACAGCGCAAATTCTAAATTTCGAAATTTACTTTGTATGGAATGAGAGGTACGCACACAAAAAAAAAAAAAAAATCCGAACTGAGCCGAGCCCACTAATGAATTTTTTGGACGAATGCTTACTAAGAAAACCAATAAAGTTCGCTGTAAGCGAAACACACTCGTAAAAAATTTATCAAAATGCAAAAAACAGAAACATTTCACATAGAAACGTACGTTTTCTGCATAAATATGAATCTCTTTTACGTGAAGTCTTTTCCATAGTAATCGGTGGAATTGTCAAATAAAGGAAAGATTGATTGCAAAACTCACTCCATTTGGCAACTTACTTACAACAAGTTGAAGAGAAGAGAAAACAAATATATCGGCACAACATTTGCCGCTTAAGCGATATCAGAAAATGTATGTCGTTCTCTTTCCTTCGTGCTCGTTCGCTATTTTTCGAATTTACTATCAACTCGTTGAATGATGCTGAAAAGTGCTTTCTCAAATGCCTGACAAAGCGACTCGATTTATTTCTTCGATTTGATTTATTAAAGCGTTCATATTGTGTGTTGGTGAATTTGTAGAAAACAATTATTTTTCGTCGAGGCAAACAAACTGCTAATTTTAGCAGCGGTAGTTGAGGTAGTTGTCGCCAAAAAAAAAAGCGATTCAAATCACTTTTACAATGGCAATGTATATATGACTAACACTGCTTTATTTATGCTCTGCATTGTGTTAGAGAAACCTAATATATATTTTATTTATGCGGTTTGAATGAATAGACGTCGAAAAAAGCAGCGAATCACACGCGGCTGCAGATAAGCCATGAACTGTAGAGATTTGATACTCATGGCGCCCCCTACCCCCGTAGTCTCGCCGCAACTGTCAGATTCTGTCAGATTTGTAAAATACATTTTAAGTACCTATACAACTGAATAAACACCAACTGAAATGATTAGTTTAATATAATACGCATGGGTGCTTGCTATTACCGACTAATAAATTGTAAAATTTGAAAGAATAAATTCATTCGTTTTTTTGGAAAAATTCCGACAGTAAAACATAAATGATAAATCAATCTATGACGCATTCACTTTGAATACTAATGAACAAATCTCATTACTCCTGAATTACATTACCTTCTTTGGCAACGTTTGGAAACTTCGTGTAAACAATAATGGAGTATATCGACACTACATTTCTCGCTGTTATTAAGACATTTATTTCTGATAAATATTTTGAAATAAAAAGAAATACATTCTGTATCAAAATGTATTAAATTTAAAAACTTTGTTTTTATGCGTATGTACATAACATACATTGGGTATGAACCGGTATGAACAGCTGTAATGGCGGCCATTTTCCTTTTCACCGCTTTTGACAGTTCATATTCATATATATTACATGCCAGAGATCATTTTGCATTCTGTTTATTCATACGTTTTTCAGG